TAACTGCCTACTATTCTGTAGTATGGCCATGACTCACTATTGCCATTTACACAGTGCTGTTTTTAAGCTAGTAGATCTTTATTTTCATAGAGAAGTTTTATATTTACAGAAAAATTACGCAGAGTACTGAGTTCCCGTGTATACCCCCACATATACTTTTCTCTCTTATTAATGTTATATTAGTATCATATTTTTTTCTAATTGATGAAGCAATAGTGATGCAATATTATTAAAATCCACAGTTTATTAGGATTCATTTCGTTTTCATTGATACACTTTAGTATTCCATCCAAGTTATGCCTGATTCTATCTCTTTAGGTTTCTTTTCACTGTGGTAGTTTGTTAGACTGTTCTTATTTTTTTGTTAAATTTAATTTTTAGATAAATTAAATTTTTAATACGTTAAAAATAAAAGTTGTACATATGGATGAGTTACTGTGTGGCATTTCAGCCCATTCATGCATTGTTTTAATCAGGTTGCTGTATCTACTTCCTCAAGCGTTTGTGATTTCTTAATGGTGGTAGTATTCGAACCCTTTCTTGTAGCTTTTTGATGGATATCGATTTGAGGGATATTGTACATGTACATTGCAGGATATTCATCTACTAGAGTTTATCTGCTGTACTTTTCTTAATTAAACTGGGTTTTGTGGCTTGGGGAGGATGATTGAATTAAAGTACAATTTTTGTCATATCGAATCAATTACATGACATAGTAATGTCATTAAGCATGTTAACGTTGACCATAATCATTTGGTTGAAGCAGTGTTTTTCTGAATTCTCCCCTGTAAAGTTGCTCCTACTCACTTTCCAAGTCATTCTCCTTTTTGAAAGGACAGCACTCTGTATTCCACATTTAACAAATGGCAAGTCGTGCTTCCCTTGCTTAAAGTGGGGCATGTACATAATTCGTTCAGAAGTCTATTGCATGGGAAATTGATCTCTACCATTATTATGGACTCATGGATATTTATATTATACTTGTATGTCACTTTGACCTACCACTATCATTGTGGTTATATTTATTATCATTATTTTAGTACTTCTTTACTTTCTAGTACTGTAAGATGCTGAAATCTCATCTTGTGTATTTGCTGCTCCAGTCTAGCAATCAAGCATTTCTCTAAGAAGTGCTGATTCCTTCGGTTGGAGAAAAAATTTAAAATTTCGTTAGGGCTTTCAGAGCAAAACAATACATACCAACTTGTATATATGCATATCTGTAAACATTTCTGTCTTTAACAATTAATTGAGGAAAAGTGATTATTAATGTCTCCAATAGTAATGCATCTCTGCATGGATTATTTTAGCCTGGTCCTTGTTCATCTCTACTTTTCCATTCCAAATTTGAGGAGCCTGGTTCCTGTCATGCACCATCCACTTAATTGTTCAGTTCCAGTCTACATGCATAACTGTCAGAACTGTTAACTGCTAACACTGTTCTGACCATTATGTATAATGTTCACTTTTCTGTTTTGTAGGTGATTGTTATCAAGTTCAAGTTCAGGTGACTTCCTCTCTATTCCTAGTTTGATGAATTATAGAATTTGCCATTTCCCCCTTTCCCTTCCTCCTTTTCACCTTATCTTTTCTCCTTCCTTCTTTCTTTACCATTTTCCAACCACTCACTCCCTTTCCTCTTCCACTGCTCTCTCCTGTGCCCTCCCCTTCCTTTTTTTTTTTTTTTTTTTTTTGGTCTTTCCTTTTTTAACTGAACCCAGGTACTTTGCACTAAGCTATATCTCCAGCCCCTAATCTTTTTTTTTTTTTTTTTTGGAGGAAGAGGGTCTCCTAAGTCACTAAGTTACCCAGTATTCTTCCTTAAGACTGTTGAGATACCACTGGATCATGATTTATAATTTATATATTGTTGGATTCAACTTGCTCATATTTTGTTGAGGGGATTTACATCTATGTTTGTAAGATTCACTGATCTATGGTTCTTTTTTACTGCCTATCTGATGTAGAGTAATGCTAGCTTCATAGAATGAGTTAAATATTTCTCTCACATGTTAATTTTACACTATTTCAAATGTATTAGGAAACAAGTGCATAGATTAGGAAAAAACAACTTTGTGGTGGTATGCATTATGTATATTAAAATGGAGATTTGGGTGCTATCTTCAGAAGGTTTTCTCCATGCAAATTTGATGGATTACCTTGGGTTTTCCCTGTGTGTATCATGTTGATTTACAAGTGGAGGCAGGAAGTCTTAACCTGAAGTATATGGCAGGCCTAAGCCAAATTAATAAACCCCAATGGCAGAGAAAACAGGAGATAGTACTGTCCTTTTAACTTAGCAGGAAACATATAGGGACTTAGGACAGACATATAGGACTTAGTAGAATTGTGTAATATCTAGTAACAGAAAACAGGGCAATGATAGAGCATCCATAGCAGATAGGATGATGCAAAGAAACATCACAAATGTATATGGACATCAGACTGCTTTGTTATTATATTTTTGACCATAATATATGCTTTTTACTCTAACCACTTTAAAAGTTCAGATGATGAATGATTTGTTAAATAATATAAAGACAAAGAGGAAATGTACATGTAGTATTTATGGAGGGCTGAAATATAAATTGAAAAAACTGTAAACATCTAAAATTCTGAGCTTTGCAAACAATTTTTTTATGACTATAGAATCATGAAGATGTATTTATGTTTACATACACAAGGCTTCTTTGCCATGGCAATAATGTTTATTTAATTGTTGAAAATACAGAGATATATGTCAGTAAATACCTTAAGTATTTGAGTAAAGTGATTATCTTAATCAAGAAGAAGAAATACAGTTTTAGAAAACAGAAGGTTGTATCATATAAAAGAATAGAATGTTGAAAAAATTTTTAATTTTTTTTAATTGCAAACAGAAAAAACAGGGAATTGTATTTCAGGAAATGTATAGAAAGTCTCACAGCAACTGGAACGTTACATTGGTTGCTGAAATTTTACATCATCCAGGATCAGGACAGTGACATTCTACATATCACAAATAATCTGTAGCTTTGTCTTGTACCTAGCATTAAACAAAAAGCAAACAAATAAAGACTAGAAATATATTTAACAAAAGAACTATAAAACTGAATACTTGTAAACATCATTGCAGCTCTGTAAAGAGAACTCCAACAAGGAGACCAGGGCAGCAGAGATAGAGTGACTATAACTAAATGTTAAGCTCACAAATACATGCCACAGAAAAATCTTTTCCTCCCTCAAGCTATTTTTTCCATTGTTTTTGAAAGGCCATTAAAATGAACAGCAGGTTGTGATGAAAATTTCATTAAGCCCCAGCTTAATCATTATGAGGGTGCCATATTCATGCCTTTGCTTTCTCTCATTGAGGATGGAA